TGAGAGAGAGAGAGAGTTCTAAAAGCCAATAACAACCTTGAATTGCAGTCTGATCTGGTCCGACTGATGACATAACAACATCACTATCTTTTTTCTTGGCTTTCGGTTTTCTAGAAGATGGTGTAGATACGTCCTGCAATTTCATCTTCTAGATTAGGAAACAAGGAGGGGGGAAAATGATTATCAACTGCCAAATAGATCTACACGTACATTAGGAGGAATATCATTGAGCTGATTATTGTTAGTTGCACCATAGTCTCTTTGAGCATGTCTGGTTATAGGTACACTGGGCTTGAAGGGCTTCTTGTCAGGTACTGTACTACTGCCAGGCATTTGCCCCTTAATAGGACCTGAGAAACTTGAACAGTGCAAGAAACAATAAGCACAGAAACATTAAATCATATAAGAACAAAACATCATAAAGCACAATTAATTCTTCTTAGGAACAAAACAGTGTATGCACTTGCCCCTTAATAGGACCTGAGAAACTTGAACAGTGCAAGAAACAGTAAGCACAGAAACATTGAATCATATAAGAACAAAACACCATAAAGCACAATTAATTCTTCTAAGGAACAAAATAGTGCATGTAATATCTAAAGATATTTACTCAATTCACATCTATACATAGAGCAAACAGGAGACAGATCCTGGAAATTCACCATGAATCCTTTGAACTACATCAAGTAGAAAGAAACTAGTTTTTTTTAGCTTCAATTAAACTACTTTGTTTTGAATAGTAAGTGAATACCATATGCATGTGTAAAAATATCAAGTACTACTCTCTAACTTTCACTACTTGTGCCTTGATACCAAAAAAGAATAAATATTAATTTTATCATATCTGATCAATACTGTTGCTAGTAAAAATAAAAAATAATATTTTCTCATTTCTAGTCATATAATTTTTAGCATTTTGTTCATTGTTATCAGTATATTTACCAATGAAATGAAATGATGCATATTCTTCTTTTCAAAAAAAAAAAAAATTAAAATTGAGATGTATTCGGGCTCTCATTATTGTAAAATATGCATACTGTCGGCAAAAATTCTTGCACCAGACAGATGTGATTGCATTACTCAATGAGGTTATAACCTATGTGGAGGCTTATTAATTATATAATGAAAAATGGCTCTCGCACTTATCCCTGCATATTAAAAACACAATCCATTTATGGATTGATTACTTTTATTTTATTCTGGGAAAAACAGATCCCACTACTTTCCAGTTCTAGCCAAAGCAGCAATACAGAAATCCTAAGTAACAAGTAGGCAACCAAAAAATAGCATCTAAAGAAAAATCAAACACAAGCATGAGCATAAAAACTTATAATCAAAGCAGGTACGGAGCAACTAAATACTTGGTTTACCTGGACTATTGTACTCAAATGCTTCTGGATTGTACTGAAGAACTTCATCATGAAGTTTTAAAGGTTCGATATAACCATATGGAACTAAGCTAGAATCTTCTCGAAGGTTCCTGTACATGATACCATATATGAGCAATAACAAAGAAAAAGCAAAAACAAAATTCAAACTAAATCAAACCAAAAGAACTCGATAGAAATTTTTACAAACACAGTCCCTAATCTATTCGGGTTTTAATCTAAAATAGAATCCTTGAGTACAATTTATTAAGTAGTAAGAACTAGCCACGTTATTCCAAATCACGTGTCACCACCAAATTCACATTTTACAAACTCGTCGCATTAGTTCAAACACGTACACGTTGTGCTTCCTGTTATCTCAGTCATTAGTGGAGAGGGAGAGAGAGAGAGAGAGCACTAATTTTAATCAATAACCATTACTTTGTTTCAAATTATTTAAACCACTTC